TTATGATGAAAAACCACGCTATTTGGAAGCATTTACACGTAATAACGCGCCAGCTCACGATTGGGGACCAAAGAAGAATGCGAATCGTATCGGAAATTACGCACATTTGAATAAAAATTTGCAACCAATGAAAGATTATCCAACGACCCCTCAAAAAGTGTTTAGCGATGCATCACTATCATTGACATTGCCGCCAATAAACGGTGCAGTGAATCAAAATTACCAAGATGATAACGGGAGTACGCACAACGAATGATTCTAAAACAGTCTCATAGAAAAGTAATTGATTCTTTTGTCGCTACTATCAGTTGTATGATTTGTTTCATAAATGCTATTTCTTTGAAGTGTATATGTTTTATGTATTAGTTTTCTGACAAAAAAGCGATAGAAGTTATTTATACATATTGAAAAGTTGAACTATTGTTTAACTGCCTAACAGCACTGAAATAATTTCGGTTACTGTCGGTAACCAACGTTCTTGTTAGTGGGATTGACAAAAACTAATTTCCACTGATTAGGAAAGTATCTCATTTCGATTGAAAGTTGAGATATATGGTTTAGTTGCAACGTTCTTTTTTAGAAGAACCACGAGAATGAACGTTAACGTTTGTTTGCTTGTTTGATTGATTTTAAGCCGCTTCGCATTGCGGTCTATGTCTTTTCTTTCAGATGATCAACGTTAATAGATTTCGGAGTGAGAACCATTTGTTTAGCAGTGAAGTCCACTCTATTGTTGCCAACTGACGATAAATGTCGCGGTATCCATCCAGATACCATACTGTTGTCTTTTTCTTTTAATTTCTCGTATGTTTTTTGAAGAAAAGGAAAATTTGTTTTGATGAAGGTGATATGTCTGCTAGAATTTTTAGAGCTAGTTGTATCACTAACAGCTCGCCATGTTACACAGAGTATTTTTGTCCTAAATATATACCATAATCTTTCCATTTAAACTCATCACCAGCTTTTGTCATGGTCGTTATGACTACTGCTACTTCATCATGTTGTTTAGAGGCATCGGTATCGATCATGTTCGCTTAAGAATGATTCATTACGGTGATTAGATGTGAATTTTGGTAGTATACTCTTCTTGGCTTCGGTTAACATTAGTCAGTTCGTTGTCGTTTCCCCAATCGAAGGCACAAAATCGTAAGCA